AAGAAGAAGAAGAAGAAGAAGAAGAAGATGGGCGGAAGAGGAGGCGGAGGAGAGAAGAGGAAGGAGAAGAAGTTGAGGGGGAGGCGGGGGAGGAGAGGAGAAGAAGAAGAAGAAGAAGAAGAAGAAGAAGAAGAAGAAGAAGAAGAAGAAGAAGAAGAAGAAGGGAGCAGTTTTTTTTTTCTTTCTTACCTGTCGTTTATCTCGCGACCTATCGCTGACGAATGGAACAAAATTAAAAAAAAGAAAAAGAAGATAGTCGGAAGAGGAGGAGAGAAGAAGAAGAAGAAGAAGAAGAAGAAGAAGAAGAGAAGAAGAAGAAGAAGAAGAAGAAGATGATGATGAGAGGGGGACGAGGGACGAGCGACTCCACGACCTTGGCGACGGGCGACGGGCAACTCCACAACGCTGGCAACGGGCGACGGGCGGCTCCACCACGACGGGGGAGTGTAGCTCCCAGGCGATGGTGACGGGCGGCTCCACGACGACGGGGGAGTGTAGCTCCCAGGCGACAACGGGCGGCTCCAGGACAACGGGCGGCTGAACCACGAACTTCGGCGGCTGGGGAAAACCAAGGCCCCGTTTGGACAGCCGATGCAGGCCGCCCCAGCCAGTCGGCTGTTCAAACGGGTCCTCGTTTTCCCTCCAAAAATCAAACGGCCCTCTGGCCGTCGATCATGGATGATCGACGGCCGGAGGGCCGTCACAATTTCAAAAAAACAAGCTGGCCTCACGGGCCCGACGCGCCGTTTTTTGGGCCTGGTCGGACCCGGTAGGCCCTGGGGACGCCAGAACATGGCGATTCGGGGTCTGAACCCCCCCCTCAACAAGGTGTGCTGGGGGTGCCCGGCCCCCAACCGGGCCGCCCGCGACCTCCCCCGGGCAGGCGCTGGTCGGCCGGGCGGCCCGGTTCCGTACTCAGAAATTTTCAGATATTTGTTGCGAGAGAAAAATTTCAGAGATTTGACGAAGTCCTACTTGATTTACTAATGAGTAATCAATAGATCAAGCAAGCTGGCTACTTGATTGAGCGGGTCCTCTGATTGAGAGGTCCGCTCCGATACCAAACTGTTGCATACTGTAAAGGTGCAGACCAGAACAAGAACCGACCTCTCTCACAAAGTACAAGATAGCGCAGTGGAAAACTTAGATACCAATGATCCGAACAATCAATATTGCAATACAGCCCCGAACATACATCATCATCATCATTCCATGGTGTGAAGGGGTCTGGTGCTCACACAGGAAGAATGCTCCAGCCCCAACCATACACAGACGAAGAAGAGGGGGGTTAGACGAAGAAGAGGGGAAGATGGGAATGTCGTCAACACGAAGTCTTCGGCACAGGCCCAAATAGTCCCTCGTCAAAATGTCTGAATCCCAATGTCGAGTCTGGATCCAATGTCGTCAAGTCTCAAGTCACAACTCTCTCTCTCTCTCTGTCGTAGTCTGCTGATACTGAGAAGTCAGGTGGTGAGAGGGTGAAGAAGAGGTGGTGGACTTAGAAGAGGAAGAAGAAGGGCTCTCTCTCTCTCTCTCTCAGTCCGGTACTAACCTGTGAAGCTGGCGCCTTGATGCAGGTACCTCGAAGATGGAGCTGGAGCTATGGCGCCACAGGTACGTCCCACTGGCCTCCGCCAGCCAGCTCTCCCAAACACTACTACTACCACCTACTAGCGCCCAGCGCTGAAGACTACTGCTATTAGCGCCCAGCGCTGAAGACTACTGCTAGCGGTAAGCTGCTCCTGCAGCGCTCCTCCAGAGTGCTGCAGCCGAATCCTAAAGACTACTCCTGCCTTCTGTCCCACTAACTACCCGTGAAGTGCATGGGAACTTCCTATGTACTACTCGGCCTGCCTCCTGACTGCAGGGCGAGGCAGTCCAGGAGGCTGCTCCTGCCAATGCCGAAGGGAGTCAGGGTCTGCCGCTGCAGCTCCTGCTGAGGCTGTCGTGGGAACACGCCAAAAATAGCCTGTTCCCGAAACCCTGGTTTTGTGCCTGAGTGTTAGGGTAGGTTGATCTTATGAGGGCCCGAAAGTGGCCCTCCGTTTCAGGCTGAAAAGCCTCAGGGCTGAAAAGCCCTGTTTTAGGCGGAAAACGAAATAGGGCCTGCAGGCCCTCGTTTTCAGTCTTTCAGGCTGAAACGACAGGGGGCCTGTAAGCCCTTATTTCTAGGCTTTTAGGCTGAGAATGTGGGACAGGCCCTGCAGGCCCGTGTGGCTACGCAGTATGCCACACCAATGATAATCCCCCTCCTCTCACCAACCAAACTCCTCCTCCATTTTCTCCTCCGCTCTTATTCAATAATAATAATGATGATTAATGGCAGAACCGGAATCAATGTCTGAAATTCTCTTCTACTGCACGCACTACATGAGGTCCACCATAGCCATGCCATCCCTTCTCCTTCCTCTTCATGAAGGCCGACGCTATGGTGGACTACTAGGGCCTTGCCCTGACGTGCAAAAGACAACACAAAGCAGCTATGGCTGCTTCCACTCAGGCCGCCATGCCCGACTCTGCCTCGAAGCTTCTTGGTGTAGCTCTACCCCAACGGGGGCCTCGCAGATACAGCGCCCACCAAGGTGATGAAGATGGCGTTCACCATACCCAGGTAAGTACCCCTGGCACTCGCCTCCCCTAGCCCCCTTCTTCCTCCTCCTCCAGCCAGAGCATCCACCACCATAGCCAAGGTGGAGAGCTAGGCGCTCCTTCCCCATCAGTGCTGCTCCAGACCAGCGCTGCTCCACCACGCGCTCCAGCAGCATGTCGTCCAAACTTGCAAGCAGCAAACGACGAGGAGCACTTCGCTCCTCCTGGAGATATAGCGGCCAACTTGCCTCTTGGGCGGTGACTTCGAGGCCGTGCAGCCTCCAAGCAACCGGTACCTCCTCCCTTTCAGAGGGAAACATCATTGCCGACTCTGATATCGCCCGTAGAGGACCTAGAGTCAGACTACATGGACTGGTCCCGCCTAGACCTAGCCTACAACTACTGGGCCTCTAAAAATGCCAACTTTTGTCTTCTTCTGCTCGGCCTCCAGTCCCCGATACATCTACCGCTACTTGAGTGGTACCAGCCTAACTGCTACTTGAGTGTTTTCCCCGCTGCAACCCTCAATGTCACGGCCACAGGTAAGTACTGGCCCTACGGGGCCGTTCAAGCAAGCAAGTACCCTTGCGGGTTACACACACACTCAAGCCGACAAGCACTCAGACAGGCACGCAGAACAGCAAGCACGCACACACACAGACTTTGAAAACTCACCAGAAAGCGTGAATCTCAGTAAGGCATTCATTCTAGCGGCAAAACTCAGACATCAGCTGTGTTCTCAGTCCGTGTTTGGGCAGGTCCTTACAGATGTCAACTTCCATGGTAAATTTCTGTGGATGTCAACCGCACTATCGAATTTTCGTTGATGTCAACTTCGTCGAATTTCTGATGATGTCAACCGTGGTATCCAATTCTCGTTGATGTCAACACCCTTGTTGAATTTCAATTGACATCAACACCCTTGTCAACAACAGTGGCAGATTTTTGTCGATGTCATATGTGCCACGTCAGGGCTAACCGTAACTCTGACACCAAATGTTAGGAGACAGCATCCGCATATGCCCACTCACACTTGCAAATTCGAGATGGCAGGTTAAACACAGTTTCACACTCGATTTCGAAGTGAAACTACTGTGAAACTTCGAAATCCACAAAGCTCTGTCACTCGCTGGTACAAAGATGCCAATCAGAGTTTGACGGAAGTCTTCATAAGTCACAGACTCTGCCCATAACAGGGATGCCTCCCATGTTCCCAAGGATACGACCAGCCACTGCACATGAGTGCGCTGACATGGCGGTCCCTCGTCAACCCTACTACTCCCTCTCTCTCTCTCTCACTTACAGTGTAAGCACACGTACATGCACACCACAGTACCCATGCACCCTCTTCACACGCACTGCTATGGCCCACACACACTATTCCCTTGCACGGCTTCAACACAAGGCTTTTGCTACTTGGCCTTGGGTACTGGTACCATTCTGGCCTGGCCTGGGTTGTGTTGTGCAACCTGTTGGACGCCCTACCTTTATTGACAGCCTACGAATGGTACTAGAGCTTTGTTACGAGTTTGTGCAGGTGCAGGTCAGGGGATCAAGACTCAACAAGCACAAGATGTATAATCTCTATAGAACAATCCCAGGTAAGTTTCAGGTTCAAATCTCGCCATGCTCAATCAAGGGGGAAACACACACGCAGGTGAGGGTCTGAGATCGAATCCCAGCAAGCAAATGAACGTGAATCCTTTCAAAATAAGTATCCCCCCAAATTCGGAGGCACACCCTTGCAAAATGGCAACCCAGCATCTCCTGCACCGCTGCCGAACCTGTATGTCCCCCAATTTGGAGGCACACCCTTGCAGAATGGCAACCCAGCATCTCCTGAACCCCTGCCGAACCTATCTCCAGTCTCCAGCCCATGGGATTTACTGGCAGTACGTGCTTGGTCCGGCAGAGGGGCACAGCCGCAAGTGAAGAGTCAAACACAATTGCAGAAAAGGATTTCAACTGGAGGGAAAGCAGGGAAAGAGACGAATGGATTGGAGCTGGGGTGGGGGGGTGGGGGGGGTGGAGAATACAGGAAGGCATGCAGGAGGAGAGGGTACAAGGAAAGAAAAAGCAGGAATGGATGATTGGGAGAAAGGAAGCAACAGAGGGGGTGTGGGTAGTCAGGAAAGGCCAGGGAAGAAGAACAGGAAGCAAAGAGAATGGTTACGAGGGGAAGAACGGACAAGGCAGCCAAGTAGCTGGTTAAGTACAAAGGGAAGATAAGCCATCTCACCCACCATGTAGCGCCCTGCCAATGTTGGAAAGGCAGTCAACCTGGGGCCTTTCTTTCCAAGGGCCTCTTTTTTCACTTGAACCAAAATGGCCATTCCTTCCCTCAAGCCAGACCACCTTTTCCAGACTTTGCCCAAAAGCATAAATGGCTCCCCTTCCAAGTCCCCTTCCTCATCATCGTCACTTTCCTCTTCATCCAACCCCTCCTCTCCATTTTCACCACTCACGGCATCTTCAGACACATCATCAGTCATGCCTCCGCTCTTCACTCCTTTGTCCATGTCATTATCATCATTACTGTAATAATGAATGATGCTAGGCCCTTCTTCTGTGTTTGTCTCACGTATCATCTCGCCAACTACCTCCCCGACTACATCCACGACCTCCTCCTCCTCCTCCTCATCGTCGTCGTCATCATCATCATCATCATCATCATCATCATCATCATCATTTTCCTTGTCCACTCCCTGAAGAGCGGTGAGTGGTGGAAATGTAATTGGGGTGTGACTGGACCGGATGTCAAGAAGGCCAAGCTGACCGTATCCTAGATCAACAAACACCGCTGTCATGCCAGGGACCAGTCGATGGACGATGCCCAAGTACACACTGCCCAGGGTAGCACCCTTAGAGACAAGCTCAACAACGAGTTCCACCAGCTCTCCATTTTCCAAGATCGCTACTCGTGGCATTGTTGATGTTGCTGTATTAATCAAGATCTCAGTCTTTGTTGTTGGTTTCTTCTCTGGCTTAACAGGGGCTACCTCCTCAACTGCCCAAATCACATTCTTCTTACCCACTATTCTCGAAATCTCTACTGACTTGGACACATGTTCCGCATGATTGCCAGGCTCCTGTATCCCCTGATCTCCAGTGATCTCACTATGGAAAAGGACAAGTTCACCATCTGTCCTCTTTGGCCCCTCCTCTTCCTTCATTTCTGCCTCTGGCGCTGCCACCAGCATCTCCTCCTCTTCTTGTGTCTTTGGTAATGATAGTATTGATGCCCTTTTCACATCATACTCTTCCTGGAAAGACCTTACCTTGGCTGGCCTTCTCATCCTCCTCCTCCACTTCCTACCCCCATCCTCTTTCATGTCATCAGCATCAATAGTCGTGCAATCCTCAAGGTCGGCATCACAGGTGCTGCTCTCAGAATCTGGGAGGCAGAAAATTCTGCTTGCCATGCAATTTGATGCACCTGCGAGCTGAGGATTCTTTCTGCCATTTACCTCCCACCCATCCTCCACATGCACTGTGCCACGTGGCAATTCTTTGAAACCTGGTGTGCGCACAGTCAAATTTGGCCCACCTCGCCAGGAGATTGCTAAGCGGAACGGGTCCCTGGCTACAGACCGGTCTTGCAAGCTTACAAAATAGCTGTACTCCAGGATGGCTTCACGGGGCATCTGTCGACAAATAGCGATCAACAGAAAGTTATAAACCGGACAAGACGGCACAAATCCACACATGATCATGCTCAAGCTGGCTTGATCCGTACAGATATCAATGAACAAAAAGAGATACGAGAGCACCATCACTGTCCTGACGAACCGGCGAGTCTGCCTGCTTGCCAATCTTCCAACTCTTCTGTCATTGGGTTGGACTGCAAGAGTGGTTCTAAAACAGTTCTAGTCGTCCATTTGTTATGAATCGTGTAGTCACAGCCCATACATGCACCTGCTCAGATCTACTCAAACCGGCATCAGCAGTCACTCAATTTGGACAACTTATGATATACACAGATAAAGATGAAAGGAATACCACACATTTCTGCGTCTAGGTCCCAGTCCCCCTCCTAGAATTCCCAAAGTTCCATGCCCCATGTATCACAGTCCACATCGGTAGGCCCAAATGTAGGTATCAGCCATAGAGTCCAGTAGGCCCGCCCCTAATGGCATTCCAGTACATCATCCGGGAACAGCGGTATTTCAGTCTTCCGCTGTGCTATTTTTGTATTGTCTCTGAGAGGTCGGTTCTCGGTTCTGATCGATGCCGATTAGGCATCCAACACATGTCAGGGAAATGGTACCGGTCTAAGAGGTCCAAGATTGTGAACAGCAACAAGTACAAAAGCCTGGCAGCCACCAGACAACAACACATTTTTCATTCAAGTCTATCGCGGATGCACTGTCGTGGTCTTATACGGTCGAGAGAGAGAGAGAGAGAGAGAGAGAGAGAGAGAGAGAGAGAGAGAGAGAGAGNGAGAGAGAGAGAGAGAGAGAGAGAGAGAGAGAGAGAGAGAGAGAGAGAGAGTGTTACCTTGAGGATGTTGGTGGCCGTCATAGCCTCCAGTTATGGTGACAGTGTTCATAGTACTTTGATTTCCAAAAGTACTTCCGAGTTTCTCATACCGTGTGCATCTTGGGTCTCATGCGTGAGGCTCTGTGTGACGAGTATGAACTTGCATGGACTCGTGAAGGTGTGTGAACCTGTGATATCTTTGCAATTGGTATCGGGGCAGACTCTCCTTGTCTTCTTGCTGAGCACTTGGGAGTAGCTAGCGTTGGATACAGGACGGCGTGTGATGCGACTGGCGGCATGGAGGAGGGGAGGACCAAAGAAGAAGTGGTCAAAGAAGAAGCCTGGGGCGAATGTGGAACATCTTTGAGCTTGCAGTGCAGTGTCTTTTCAACCCTAGCCTTGCATGCGCATGTGTGTTGTTTTTTGAGGTTGTAGTTGCTGGTCCTCCCCGGATTCAAGCTGTTCTTGTCAATTCTTGTTGATGTCAATGGGTCTTTAGGTTGCTCAGCTAGTCTGTGAATGTGTACAGCAACCTGCCAAGGGCAGGCATCGTAAAGTAGCTGCACTGGCATGAGCAGCAGGCACTCGTTAAAACAACCTGTCCTGCCCCAAGGACTGCTACTGACCAGTGTGTGGTGAAAATACGCGAGCAGTGCGAGTGTCAGCAAGTCCCAGCCACAAGCCTCCAGGGTTGTAGTTAATGGGCGTAGGATTGGTAGTACCACCTGGCCACTTCGTTGTGTCTGCAACATCAAAGAATTCCTGAGGACCTTGCAGCCTGTCCTTAAACCACCAGTACACCCAGGTGTGGAGGTGATCCACTGCGCGCCAACCTTTGCTGATCCGTTAGCGGCTCACTTCTTTTCTTTTTTGGCTGGCGGCGCCAGCCATTGTGGTCCGGTAGGCTGGAGACGCAAAATTTCCAGATGGGCGACGAGGTCATTTTCAGCAAGGCTAGGGCTGTGTACTAGTGGTTTAAATCGACTGCTGACAAGTCAGAGGCATCTACCATAACTCGTTAGTATAGAGGTTTACAACAAGAAGTCCACGGATTTAGGTCAAGAGGAGGTATAGTCATAAGTGGTAGCAGATAGTGAATAAGAGTCAAAACCTTGAGCAGCAGTTATGTTGTCCCTCCACTATTGCAGTAACCCTGTTCAGAAGTAGCCTGGGGCCCAGAACTCAGCCCCAGGCAACGCAGACCTGAGTTAGTCTGCGCTGGGCTGTGTGACCAAGACACGCCCACGCCTGAGTCTGTCCCGTTGGCTGTGTGACCAAACGCTGCACACAGGAAATTCAAAGGTCAAAGTCAACTGTAGAGTCAAAGGTACCGCACCCAGGCCCTTGGTTGGATACACTCACTTGTTGTGCGCAGGTACCCAGACAAGCATCCAGGCCGGAGGGAAATCGGTTTCAGACCAATCTGGGCCTTACTTGCGTCAAGATCTGGACGGCTGAGCAGCATCCGGGGTCCAGACCCCGAGTTAACACTACCTAAGCGTTGACTTCCCTGGCTTTGACATTCATTCTGTCTTGCGTTGATGCTGACTTCACGCGTTGACTTCAACGCTTCGACGCAGCAACGCTGACATTGTGATTCCGCGAGGTGCTGCTGGTCCGGCATGGTGGCTGGCTTGCACCTGTCTTCTTGGCATGCTGACGTGGCAGCTGCCCTGCGCTGTCGCTGACGTGGCTGCTGCCACGTGTTCTTCTGTTCGCTGACGAAGCGAGGCTACGTGACTTATATTGCTGTTCTGATCATCGACATTCGGGAGGAGATCGGGACTGTGGAGAATTCGTGGATACGTACCTGGTTGTCTTCATGCCGACATTGCTCCAGCGCTGATGAGGGACTGATTAGACGTGCCACGTGGCACATTGAGGTTACTTCAGATA